CCACTATAAATTTTGTGTGCTAATCAGTTGAACAATTTATTTGGCTTACATTGGGAATTAGGGTATCAGGGGTGATACCCTAATTCCCAGTGCCTGGCAATACCAGATGCATATGTAGACACTACGTATATCTGTTGGAAAATCCTGCCAGCTTTTGACCGGCCCATCCACAGTTGTGACAGGCCTTCCACAGTTATGACAAATAGAATTGTTTAAACTTTCTGCAGTTGGCCATGGTCATGGTGAACAGGACTTTAGGAGATAATGACCCAACCAGAAGTTTACTAAAAACCAACTTGCTTTTTAAACAGCAGTCTGAATCTTTTAAGCTTCACTAGTTGATTTTACTTGTATAGCCATTTACTATCACTGGGTAGTTCAAATGTCAAATGCTTTGCAAGCAAAGATAAAACTGTAAATAACTGGTTTAGTTTGACCCACAGGCCATTAATAAATACCATCTATTATATGAAAAAAAAGTAGTGCACAGAAGGTTCCACAAATGTTTAGGTACCAGTAAGTTGATTAGTAGGATGTATGTAACATTAAGATTATTACATTCTTATTAACAATACTATTAGAAATATGATTATAAAAGAATCTTCCTGAAATTCAAGATAAAAGCTGAAGCAGGTAGGTCTAGTAATTGACTGCTTGATGACTAAGTACTTGTGGAGCCATGTATGTGTAAACAAAATTAATGAAATAGAATCATTGTGGATATGACACGTCTGTCACATCATTCGTGCACGGGGAGTTCAGTGGGGTGATATTCTTTTCTTGATCATCAATTTACTTTTCTTTTTTCTTTTTGTTATACATGTAATAATTTGTTATTATGATTTTTTTCTCTTTACTTATTTGTTGTTATATCTGGTCATCTTTACTCATCTTTATCATGTGCCTCTTACTGCCTCCCACAGTGCAGAGAAACTACGACCCAACCCTCCATCCTTTTGAAGCTGCACGAGAATACAAGCTTGCTGTCAATGCTGTGAAATTAGAGCGTGTGTTCGCAAAGCCCTTTGTGAGCAGTCTAACACACTCTGATGCCTTGAGTGCCATATGTCGACATCCATCCCAGCTATCGTCTGTGTTTACTGGCACAGTTGAAGGCGAGGTAAAGAGTGGATAAGCATGGCCATTGGGAGTTGGAAGAGATTGTAATATATATACATATTTGTAATATATATACTTATTTATGTGTGCGTGTGTGTGTGCGTGTGCGTGTGCGTGTGCGTGTGCGTGTGCGTGTGCGTGTGCGTGTGCGTGCGTGCGTGTGCGTGTGCGTGTGCGTGTGCGTGTGCGTGTGCGCGTGTGCGTGTGCGTGTGCGTGTGTGCGTGTGCGTGTGCGTGTGCGTGTGCGTGTGCGTGTGCGTGTGCGTGTGCGTGTGCGTGTGTGTGTGTGTGTGTGTGTGTGTGTGTGTGTGTGTGTGTGTGTGTGTGTGTGTGTGTGTGTGTGTGTGCGTGCATGCATGCATGTGCACGTGTGTGCATGTGTGTGTGTGAGCATGTCCACATGTTTATATGTATATACATGTACATGTATGTAAATGTTTGCATATGTGTTTGTTTCAATTTATATATCTACTTTTATTTGGCATTTGTATATTGTTCATCTGGAAGTGAAATACTGCATGGTTCAGAGTGCAGTGAAACATGTTGTCAAAGTTCAGAAACCAGATTAATTCTTTTTCATTCCACAGTTGATGCTATGGGACCTTCCCCAAAAGAAGTCAAAATGGTCTGTCCAAGCACACAATGGTCATCTTGGGGCCATTGTGACAGCACCAGATGGGGGCTCCTTCTTCACAGTGGGCAATGACAAGACCATAAAGCGCTGGTCACTAGAAAAGACACTGGAGAACTCTGATTTACCTGTTGATACCTGGATGAGTGAAGTAAGTGAGGGTAATTGAAAGTGCATGCATAGGGTGTCCGAGTCTAAGAGAGGGCTGTAGTGTATTTTTCCCAGTAAGTTATAATTACCAACTTGTTAGTGAGAAAGGAACAAATAGTTATTAGATTGGTGACATGGATCATGGAAGAAACTACAGATTAGTTGTAAGCTATGAGTATTATTTAACTTCTTTCTTACTGCATCACAAATTTATGTTTTCAGATATGGATTTAGCCTCATTACAACTAGAACTTTGATAAAGTAGCAAAAATAAACTCTGATGGGCTATTTGTTTAGCTTCTGGTACTCTAAACAGTTTCATAGCATGAGTTAGGTAGGAGAGCACAGTATTGGCTTGACTAGTTGACTAGCAACTTGTGTCATAACTATTTTTATTCATGACCACTAGTTGGTGATGTTGATGGCAAAGTGTCTTGTGTAAAGCCAGCTTTAAGTTAGCAGTGCAAACTGGTAGGTTGCTTGGGAATAATATTTGTACATTATTTGGAACTCCCCAGTTTGTTACTTTTTTCATATTCATTTATTGCTTAATATGTTATGTATCAGTGTGTTTGGATGTTTATAATATATATAATGCTTCATTTACCTTTCTGATATATATGATGGCTACATTTTCTCTTCCAGACAGTCATCACAGGCATATCACACCACCGATACAACAATGAATTCATCACATGTGGAGAAAGGGTCTTTCTGTGGGATGCTACCATGAAGGCCCCTAAATTCTCTTATGACTGGAACACAGGAGCCCATGGCAGTAACGCCAGTGTGGTCTGCGTCAAGTTCAATGACATCGAGACCTCATTGTTCGGTAAGAAAAATGGGATGAATACTCATTATACATATTGTAGGTTTATTGGTGTTCAAGGTGTCTTTGTCAGTGCAATCAAATCTTACTTGTATATACATCCAACCCGATGCACTCAGACATATTGTATTGTAACAAAACATACAATATAAGAAGACTATCCTACAGAGAGATGGGAAGGTTTGAATTAGGACAGTCAAAGCTAAAGAATTGCTAATACATTTAGCCCCCCCCCCCATATACACACACACACATACACATATTAAGCTACTGCCTATCAAATACTTACTAGGTTCTATCTGGGTTTGCAATAACTTCACTGATAAGATTAACACAAAAATGAGACTGCAATTTTTAAAAAATATGGCATGTTATGCAGTTTTTAAGACAGAATTATTATATGTATTGTATCAGGGGAAGTGGGAAGCCTTACTACCTACTATTGGTAGGTTCATATAATGGAAAACATGGACTTTCTGCTTTGACGACTTCAGGATTATCATCAGGAACTATAGATTGATACACAATAAATAAAAGAAAAAGAAAAAAAGATATGGGACCAAATTGTTTTTGATAATGTTATTGCAAAGCTTCCCTTCCCACTTTTGAAAGGATTCCCTTAATTATTGTTATATAATGCATCTTAATCCCTTGGATCTGGCTGAATAAATGATCCATATGTAGATTTGTAAAAAGAATGAATATCCAAAAAAGATATATGATTTTATTTGAGTCTAAAAGAAGTTTTCTGATGTACTTAACCCAATCACGCCGGGTGTCCCATATCTGAGATGCCCGAAAAAAATTAACACTCAGCGCGTCTCGCCAGTGTGACGCTGTGTCGGGCTTGCGCTCAGACTCAGCAATGGGCCGTGGCCGGTGGGCTGATAGACTCCGGGGAAGCTCCACCTGCCGATTTTTGTAGCTGCCCAGATTTTTTTATTTTGGCTAAATGTCCCCGGCATGAGTGGGTTAAGTGTCCAGATAGAATTTTTTTTTGAAGTACCCATTATCATTTACCTAAATTTACCACTTTCTTTTAACCTATTGCTGATGGGTAATCATACTGGCAAGTTTTCTTTTATGAATTTTGTTTGCACATAGATAGCTTAGCCAAATAGGAGCAAATTAATAAGCCTTTGTGACTTCACATTACTTCCCTTTTCCTGAGTTTTTGTGGAAAATGTTTTTTCCCTTGTTATTAATGCTGATTTTGTTATTTTTATAGTTGAAATTATGATTGCTATGATTTTATTATTTGATTTTATTTGAGAGTCAAGGAAAAGGGTAAATAGGTGAGATAGGTAGAACAAGTAAATTGACTCCTTGGAGATTAATCACTTATGGAGTCATCTATGTTTAAAGATGATTAATAATAATAAGAAAAAATGCAATGGACATAGCATGTATTCTTGCTAACCTGGTATCAGTGGGTCATACTCTTCTCTGTATTGAGGTTATTATTATATATACGTTATATATATGTTTTTTTTTATTTTCACTGAACATGCATAATTTGATAGCTTCCAGTGACCAGGCAAACAACATCATCCTTTATGACACAAGAGGCAAGGAAGTAAAGAAGCTGAGGATGAATATGCGAGTGAATGCTCTTGCATGGAATCCCATGGAGGCTTTCATTTTGACAGCAGCCAGCGAAGATTACAAGTGAGTGGAGGGAGGGAAGGAGAGAAGGAAAGGAAGATATGCTATTTGCATGGAATGATGGAGGCTTTCTTTTTCGCCCACACAAGTGAAGTGAAGTGAGGGTAGCAGGGAGGAGGAGGAGGGAGGGAGAAGGGAGGAGGAAGGAGGAAGGAAGGGAGGGAGGAAGGGAGTGAAGGGAGGGAGGGAAGGGAGGAGGAAGGGAGGAAGGAAGGGAGGGAGGAAGGGAGGAAGAAGGGAAGGGAGGGAGGAAGGGAGGAAGGAAGGGAGAGGAGGGAGGAAGGAAGGGAGGGAGGAAGGGAGGAAGGAAGGGAGGCGGAGGGAGGGAGGAAGGAAAGGAAGGGAGGGAGGAAGCAAGGGGAAGGAAGAGGAGGAAGGAAGGGAGGAAGGAAGGGAGTGAGGAAGGAGGAGGAAGGGAAGGAGGAAGGGAGGGAGGAGGAAGGAGGGAGGGAGGAAGGGAAAGAAGGAGGAAGAAGAAGGGAGGAAGGAAGGAAGGGAGGAAAGAAGAAGGGAGGGAGGAAGGGAGGGAGGGAGGGAGGGGAGGGAGGGAAGGGAGGAAGGAAGGAAGCGAAGAAGGAAGAAGAAGAAGGAAGGAAGGAAGGAAGAAGGAAGAAGGAAGGAAGGAGAGGGAAGGAAGGGAAGGGAGGGAGGGAGGGAGGAGGGAGGAGGAAGGAAGGAAGGAAGGAAGGAAGAAGGAAGAAGGAAGGAGGAAGGAAGGAAGGAGGGAGGGAGGAGGGAGGGAGGAAGGAAGGGAGGAGGGGGAGGGAGGAAGGAAGGGGGGAAGAGGAGGAGGAGGGAGGAAGGGAGGGAGGGAGGAAGGGAGGAAGGAAGGAAGGGAGGAGGAGAGGAGGGCAAGGGAGGAGGAGGGAGGAAGGGAGGGAGGAGGAGGGAGGAAGGGAGAGGAGGAAGGGAGGGAGCGGAGGAAGGCGAGGAGGGAGGAAGGGAGGGGAGGGAGGAAGGGAGGGAGGAGGAAGGGAGGGAGCGGAGGAAGGAGGGAGGGAGGAAGGGAGGGAGGAGGGAAGGGAGGAGGGAGGGAGGAGGAAGGGAGGAGGGAGGAAGGGAGGGAGGGAGGAAGGCGAGGGAGGAGGAAGGGAGGGAGGGAGGAAGGGAGGGAGGGAGGGAAGGAAGGGAGGAGAAGGGAGGAGGGAAGGGAGGAGGAGGAAGGAGGGAGGGAGAAGGGAGGGAGGGAGGAAGGAGGAGGGAGGGAAGGGAGGAGGGAGGAAGGGAGGGAGGGGAGGAAGGGAGGGAGGAGGAAGGAGGAAGAGGAGGGAGGAGGGAAGGGAGGGAGGAGGAAGGGAGGGAGGGAGGAAGGGAGGAGGGAGGAAGGGAGGGAGGGAGGAGGGAGGGAGGGAGGAGGGGGAGGAGGAGGGAGGGGAGGAGGAAGGAGGAAGGAAGGAAGGAAGGGGAAGGAGGAAGGAGGAAGAAGGAAGGAAGGGAGGAAAGAAAGAATGAAAGAAAGAAAGGAAAGGAAGGAGGAAAGAAGGGAGGAAGGGAGGAAAGAAAGAAGGGAGGGAAAGAAAGAAGGAGGAAAGGAAAGAAAGAAGGGAGGAAAGAAAGAAGGGAGGAAAGAAAGAAAGGAAAGGAGGAAAGAAAGAAGGGAGAAAGAAAGGGGAGGAAGAAAGAAGGGGGAAAGAAGAAGGGAGGAAGGGAAGGAAGGAAGGAAGGAAGGAAGGAAGGAAGGAAGGAAGGAAGGAAGGAAGGAAGGAAGGAAGGAAGGAGAAGAAGGAAGGAAGGAAGGAAGAAGGAAGGGAGGAGGAGGAGGAGGGAGGGAGGGAGGAGGAGGGGGGGGAAACAGGTTGGAAGAGTGTATATTATTCTGCTTTCTAGAATGCTGTTTGAGATATTTGAAAAATGCTTATCTATTTCACTCTTATTGGTTTCTGGTCTAGTTTTCCTTTTCATGACTCATCTCATCATTTTTCAGTATTTTATCTCCTATTTTATTTTTTGACTGCCTCTTCTATATCCCTTTTTCTATGCCTCCTCTTTTCTCATAACACTTGTTTGCTTCTTCCTGGTTTCTCTTTTTTCTCCATTTCCTCTGTTTCCTTACTACCTTTTCCTTTTCTGTATTCCTCTGCCTCCTCTTTGTTTTCACTTTTTTGTTCACATTCTGTGCTTCCTTCTTATTCTCCTGCCTTCACGTCTCTTCCTCTTTTCCATTACTACTTTCATTATTGCTCCTTTTCCTCTCCTGCTTTCTTTCAATTTTTTTTCATGCGCTGTCTCTTTCTTCATCTTTTCCTCTGCCTCCTTTATTTTTCCCATATCCTCTGGCTCCTCATTTTCCTTTTCCTGTTCTCTTTTCTTTCTCTTCCATCACCTTTTCTTTTCCTTTTCTTCATCTACTTTCTTTTTTAGATTAATTGAATGGTTCCTGTTATCTTTTATTGAGAATTTTTCTCTTGTCATGGTCACTTAGCACTTCAGGTATAGGTGTGTTTATAAATCATTGTTGTCTATAGAATTTGTATATTTGGTTGCAGAGAATATTCCACATGTTGCACCTGTTATTGCTTACATTATATACTGATTATTTATATATTTATTTTTTTTTCTAGTTGCTATTCCTTCGACATTAGAAACATGAATAACAAGCACCGTATAGTAGGTTTGCATGAAGGCCATACGTCAGCAGTCACTGATGTGTATTACTCTCCCACTGGCAAGGAGTTTGTCTCAGGAAGTTATGACAGGTCCATCAGAATATTCTCAACAGAAGAAGTAAGTTGACTGAGAGAGCTGTAGGTTTTTAAGGTTTTACACTGTATATGTTCTTCATATATTTTTTGGAGGGAGTTATGTATTGAGGTTATAAGTTAAATACTGGTAATTAAATCAATGGTTTTAGTATTTGATGCAAAATTTCTTTACAATGGTATAAGGAAAATGGACCTGAATTTTCCCTTACAGTAATTAACAAATGTTGCTTTTAGGGAAAGTGTCGAGATGTGTATCACACCAAGCGCATGTTCAAGGTAAATTGTGTTTTATGGACAGCTGACAACAAGTATGTCCTCTCAGGGTCGTCTGATCACAATGTGAGGATCTGGAAGTCAGTTGCAAGCGAAAAGATGGGTGTGGTAAGTAATGTAGATATTCCTGT